GCAAGGGGCGCTCCTGGATCCGCGCCCTGCACCGGGCGCGCCGCGGCCCTGTCGGTGGCCCTGGGCCCAGAGCAGCCAGGAGGCAGCAGGGGGAGGGCGGATCTGGCCCGGGCTGCGGCTGAGCGGCGCGGCGTCCTGTGCACGCCCGCAGACTCCGGCGACCCAGACAAGGAGAGTCCAGGCTGCAAGCGGCGGCGGACGCGCACCAACTTCACCGGCTGGCAGCTGGAGGAGCTGGAGAAAGCCTTCAACGAGAGCCACTATCCCGACGTGTTCATGCGCGAGGCGCTGGCGCTGCGCCTGGATCTGGTCGAGTCCCGAGTTCAGGTAAAGACCCGCCGCCCCTCCCGCGACCCGCATCCCGCCGCTCGTCCCGCCCCGCGCCGCCCGCTTTTGTTCTAGGTGGAGACGCATCCCCGGTCCCGAGCCCGCCTAGTGCTCGCTTGCGGGAAGCTGTGGGGCCGGCTGTTCCGGGGCTCGTGGCGCCTCCCGGACGGGGTGGTGGGAGCCCTGGAAAGTAGGGGCGGCTCGGGAGGGGCCGGCGGCCGCCCCGAAAGTAGCGGGAACAGGTGCTGCGTCCCACCCGGGGAGCCGCGCGGTGGGTCCGCGAGACCTAGCGAAATGAGGTCTGCGAGGCTTGGGGGGCGGGGGGCGGCGAGGAGGAGCGGTCTCTGGACGCGGAGGACACGGGGACAAGGCACCCCCGCGCCGCCGCGCCTCGCAGGGGCCCGGCTCGCGTCGCCAGCCTGGAGCGAACGCGTCTGTTTGTTTACCTTTCGCCTCGAAAATACTCAGATGGAAACATGTATTTATTCATCGCTTTGCAGAAGGGGGCAGCTGAGAAAGGCGGGCGGGAACTTAAACAATTAACACACTGAGAAAAAAGGTGTCTGAGTCTTTAATTCCCCCGGTTGTAGATTTTCTTTTTCCTTTCCCCGGTAATTTGATTTTTATTCGGAAAATGACAGCGGTTTTCTTTTTAAAACTACGGCGTCGATTTGGTGGATTAAAAATTCAAGATGAACTGGGTATAATTAGGTGTTTCCCCGAAGTACATAAGTGTTTGCAGGGCGCGCGCGGTGAGTGCGGGGTGAGTGCGCGGCCGCTGCGGGGCCGGGGCTCCGAGGCAGGGGCCGGGCAGCCGCCGCCGCAGCGCCAGCAGCTTTGTCCGGAAAGGCGTTCTGGTCCTGTGCTTGGTGGCCCTCCTGACCGCTTCTGTTCCCAAATCCTTTCATCCAATTTGTTCTAAGTGTCTTAAGTGAAGTCAAGACCTCTTTATTTCTCCCTAATACGATAATGAGTAATTCCAGGCGGCCTGGAATTTGTACCCCAAAATAAGTATTTAAAGAAAAAGGAGGGGACAAAAGGCTGTTGACCCTGGGGAGGTGCAGCTTAACACCCGCGCTGTTGGCGCAGACAAAGCTGCCTGTGGCCAGGCCGGGCCTGCTGGGCCGTGTTTCCGTTGGGCCACAACAAAGAATTAATTCACTGATGGCGCTCGCTCGCTTGCGGAGGGTAGCTCGCCTGCGGCTCCACAGGGCTTGGACTGTTCTGTGGGGGAGCCAGGGTCCGGGGCTGCTGTTCCCCCGCATCCGGCGAGGCTCCCCAGAACCGGCTGCAGAGAGGGTGGAAGAGGCAGGGCGGCCCAGGCCCCCTCCTCTCCGCCAGGCCCGGCAGCTGGCCTCCTGCTTCCCGCAGGCCAAGCACACCGGGGCTGAGAACGGCACTGTGTTGGTGCCCTGGCCTGGAGCCTCCAGAAAGAAGGATGCGTGTGAATGTGGGGGGAGGGGGCTGGAGCTCCCCTCCCCCAAGCTGGGCTCAGCTTGGCTCCCCAGGCCCTTCTTGAAGAAGCGGCATCCAGATTTTTGCTCACGGGACACGCCAAAATCTGGGCTTTGACTCAGTCTCCAGGGGGCTGAGGACAGGTGTGGAAGGCGGCTGAGCCCAGCCGCCTGGTGTCCTGGGCCAGACGGTCAGCGCCAGGCCAGGCGGCTGCTTAGAGCAGGAGCTGTGAGAAGCCAGGAGGGGTGAGGGGGAGCCCCGCTCTCTGTCTTCCCACCAGAAACCCGATGCCTTGGGTCGGGGGGCCAGACCAGCCCTGCCCAGCAAAGGGGCAGCTTCCAGCTCCCCGAGGTGAGAAGCCAGAGCAGGAAGCTGGCCCGGAGGCCTCACCTACCTCCTTCTGGGTGGAAAAGATCCTCTTTGGAGCCTGCAGCCTCCGTGCGAAGCCCAGCTCGGGGCCGGCGGGGCCGTGGCTTGGCTCTCGTCTCCCGGCCGGAGCCAAGGTCGTGCAGGCCTGTCTGGGGGCAGTGGGGAGGCCCACGGCCCCGCGGCCGCCGCCCCCTGATCGTGCCTTCCTTTCCCCAACCGGCTGCTCTAGGTCTGGTTCCAAAACCGCCGGGCCAAGTGGAGGAAGAAGGAAAACACGAAGAAGGGCCCGGGGCGGCCGGCGCACAACTCGCACCCGACCACGTGCAGTGGTGAGCCCATGGACCCCGAGGAGATCGCGCGCAAGGAGCTGGAGAAGATGGAGAAAAAGAAGCGCAAGCACGAGAAGAAGCTGCTCAAGAGCCAGAGCCGCCACCTGCACTCGCCCGGCGGCCTGTCCCTGCACAGTGCGCCCAGCTCCGACAGCGACAGCGGCGGCGGCGGCTTGTCC